TCTTCATTAATGCACCTTGTGACCCCTTAGATAGCTTAATCTTGTCGTGCACACATATACACTTGCCCACCCCTGGAGGTGGTCAAAGCATGTGACCGTCCGACATCGTGGCCTTAATCATGACGGGTTTTAAATTTTTAAACACATTCCCACCCCTGGAGGTGGTCGATGCATGCGACAGTCCAGCCTCATGGCCTTAAACATGACGGGATTCAAATTTTTAAACACATGCCCACCCTTGGAGGTGGTCGATGCATGCGACCGTCCAGCCTCATGGCCTTAAACATGACGGGTTTCAAATTTTTAAACACATGCCCACCCCTGGAGGTGGTCGATGCATGCGACTGTCCAGCCTCATGGCCTTAAACATGACGGGTTTCAAATTTTTAAACACATGCCCACCCCTGGAGGTGGTCGATGCATGCGACCGTCCAGCCTCATGGCCTTAAACATGACGGGTTTCAAATTTTTAAACACATGCCCACCCCTGGAGGTGGTCGATGCATGCGACCGTCCAGCCTCGTGGCCTTAATCATGACGGGTTTTCTGCTCTTTTGGGCTCCTTTAGTCTTGGGACTGTGTAAGTCCTGATGCTCCTTTTCCTCCTGTTTCCTCACCTGATTATGCGGTCTTCATGGTAGGTGTTGGTCTTCACACTTGCCCACCCTGAGGAATGTTCTAAACAGGAGATCTTTCGACCAACCTGCCCACCCAAAGGAATGTCCTAAACAAGCGACCACCCAGCCCGAAGGCCTTATTCCTGGTGGATTTTGGTCTTCACACTTGCCCACCCCGAGGAATGTTCTAAACAGGAGATCTTTCGACCAACCTGTCCACCCCAAGGAATGTTCTAAACTAGCGACTCTCAAGTCAAACCATATCATACTCATCATGTCATTCAAATCATACCAACATTCCAAGCATAAGAAAATGTATAATAAAGCAAATAGAATCGGAAAAATTATTAAATTTCATTGTCTCGCGAGCAAACTTTGCAATTTACATTTCCATTGTGATTTCTCCGCTCTCTTTTCAAAGTAAATAAAAAAAAATTTCACACGTAATATTTTTTCAAATTAGCTATGTTCCATGACCTGGCGAGTGATCGGCCTTCAGCATCCTTCAGCGAGTACGCTCCTCGTGCGTGCACTCTCTCGACCAAGTATGGTCCTTCCCAGTTCGGCTCCAGCTTCTCCACATGTTTGAGCACGTCGACATGCTTCCAGACCAAGTCTCCCACTTGGAGCTTGCGAACCTTCACTCTTTTGTCGTGAGCGGCTCGCATCCTCTGCTTGTACGACACCACCCTAATTGCGGCCTTCCCATGCAACTCCTCAATGGTGTCTAAGGCTGCTATCATCAGGTCCTCGTTTTGTTCAACATCATACGTGCTCGACCTCAGGGAAGATAACTCGATCTCGACCGGCAACAATGCTTCCATTCCATAAGCTAAACTGAACGGAGTTTCTCCTGTAGTCGACCTTGGGGTCGTGCGATACGCCCAAAGTACGGAGCTTAGCTCATCGACCCATGCTCCCGAGGCTTTCTCTAATTTTGTCTTCAGCCCATTCAGTATAACTCGATTAGTTACCTCGACCTGACCATTAGCTTGCGGATGCGCCACCGAGGCAACGTGTTGTTCAATTATCATATTTTCACACCATGCTCGAATCCGCTTCCCATTGAACTGGGTACCGTTATCAGAAATCAACACTTTGGGTACACCAAACCGGTAGCAAATGTCATTGTATATGAATTTAATTACTTTCTCCTCTGTAATCTTCGCCAAGGGCTCAGCCTCCACCCATTTCGTGAAATAATCGACCGCCACTATTAAGAACTTCCTCTGCCCGGTCCCCTGAGGCATCGGCCCCACCAGATCGATACCCCACTGGGCGAATGGTATAGGAGCACTCATCGTCGTCATGGCTTCGACCGGTTGGTGGATAAGGGGGCCGTGCTTTTGGCATTGTAAGCACTTCTTCACCATCATCTTCGCATCTTCCCTCATCATTGGCCAAAAATATCCTGCCCTCAAAGTTTTTGCAATCAAAGCTCCCGACTTACTATGGTCGCTGCAACATCCTTCGTGCATCTCCCTCAACACATATCGGCCTTCTTCCTTAGTAACACAGCATAGATGTGGTCCTCCATAAGATCGCTTGTAAAGAATGCCTCCGTGCTCAAAAAATCTCCTAACCACCTTTATCGCTCCTCCCCTCAGCTCCTCCAAGATCGGGGCCCTCCAATCTTCCACCTCTTCAATCTCCGCCACTTCTGCCTCAATCACACTCTTTTCAAGATGCAACAGAGTGACACTTCTACTCTTACAATCGACCAAGCTCTGAGCAATTTTCGACAATAGGTCTGCTCGACCATTCTCTCCTAGAGGAATTTGTATTAGCTCAAACGAGTCAAGCTCCTCTCTCAGCTTCTTCATCTCATCCACATATTTCTGCATCCGATCCTCCTTGACTTCAAACCCTTCTTGAAACTGCCCATCCACCAGTTGAGAATCGGAATGCACCTGCAATTTTCGAGCTCCTCCTGCTTTGGCTAGTCTCAATCCCTTAATCACTGCCTCGTACTCAGCTTCGTTATTGGATATTTTGAACCCCACTTTAGCCGCAAACTCCAAGTAATCACCTTTGGGGGAGACAAGAACAATTCCCAATCCTGCCCCGCTTCGGGCCACAGATCCATCTACAAACAACTGCCATAATCCCTCTGACTCCTCCTCAACTTTCGTGCCCTCCTGGATAAAATCAGCCAACACCTGTGCCTTTATGGCTCTCTTTGGCTCGTACATCAAAGAATATTCACTTAATTTGACTGCCCATTTCACCAATCGACCAGAGACCGATGGCCGACCAAGTGTTTCTCCTAGAGGCATATTCGTTCGCACCTTCACCTTATGATTTAAGAAATAGGGTCTCAACTTTCGAGCAGTTACAAACACGGCTAGAGCATACTTCTCGATCTCGGAATACCTCATCTCGGCCCCCTGCATCACCCTACTCACATAATAGATAGGGGATTGCGCTATTCCTTCCTCTCGCAACAACACCGAGCTCACAGCCCTCTCTCCAATAGAAATATATAGCACCAACTCCTCGCCCTGCATGGGTTTGGCCAACAATGGAAGGTTGGCCAGCACTCCTCGCAATTCATCGAATGCCTTCTGCGCCTCCTCAGCCCACTGGAATTTTGCACTCTTTTTTAACGTTTTGAATAATGGGCCGCTCTTCTCCGCCACCTTCGATATGAAACGACTCAGCCCCGCGATTCTTCCAGCTAAGACCTGCACTTCCTTAATATTTGTCGGCAGCTTCATCTCCACCACAGCTCGAACCTTCTCTGGATTAACTTCGATACCTCTCTTGGTCACCAAGTAACCCAAGAACTTTCCTGACCTTACCCCAAAAGAGCATTTGGTGGGGTTCAGCTTCATCCCGTACCATCGCAATGTTAGGAACGTTTCTTTCAAATCTCGTACATGATCCAACTCCTCATTACTTTTCACCAACATGTCATCCACGTACACCTCCATGTTCCTCCCCAGCTGCTCTTTAAAGATTTTATCGACCATCCTTTGATACGTGGCCCCCGCGTTTTTCAGGCCGAACGGCATGACCACGTAACAATAGGTCCCTCTACTTGTTAAAAAACTCACCCGCTTCCTGTCCTCTCTCGCCAAGGGAATTTGATGGTACCCTTGGGAGGCATCCATCAAGCTCAACAGTTCGCATCCAGCCGTTGAATCGACCAATTGCTCAATTCTGGGCAACGGGTATAAGTCTTTCGGGCATGCTTTGTCTAGATCGCGGAAATCAATGCACATCCTCCACTTCCCTTCTGCCTTTGACACCTTCATCGTGTTTGACAGCCATTCGGGGAATTGGATTTCTTTGATATGTTGTGCCCCTAACAGTTTCTCGACCTCCTGCTCGATGATCTTGTCCATCTCCGCACCATGGTGCCTTCTTTTCTGCTTCACCGGCCTCACGCTGAGGTCGATGTTCAGCCGATGCTCGATCACCTCCGCGCTTATTCTCGTTAACTCTTCAGCTGTGTAGGCAAAAATGTCAACGAACTCCCTCACCAACTGGATCAACCTCGACCGAATAGGCTCTTCTAGATCCTTTCCAATCCTGAACTTTCTCCCTTCACACCCTTCGATCATTTGAATCTCCTCGACTTCTTCCCCAGGTTGGATATCCATTTTCTCCTTCCCCTTTTCCACTCTCCGCTTATCTTCCTTCGACCTCGATCCCCCTGGTCGATCAATCTCTTCCCCCTTCGACTCGACCTTCCTCTTCGCCAACTGCTTGTTATTGCTGGCCGTTGTTTGGTAGCAACTCCTCGAAGTGAGCTGATCCCCGGCAATCTCCCCTACGTTTTCGCCCACCGGATATTTGATCATCATGTGGTACGTGGATACGACCGCCTGGAACGCATTCAAACTCGTCCGCCCCATGATGATGTTATAAGATGACTCAGCCCCCACAACCACAAATCTCACCATGCGCACCTTCCTCAGATCTCCTGATCCCAATGCCACAGGCAAACTGACCTCTCCCATCGACATGACTTCTCCCCCATTAAAGCCGTAAAGTGCCGTGGTCACCGGCTTTAACTCCATACTCAGCTCCTTATTAATCTGCACAAAACAATCATAGAATATCACATCCACCGAGCTTCCTGTGTCAATAAAGACCCTCTTCATATCAAAGCCTGCAACCTCCGCAGTTATCACCAGAGCATCATTATGCGGCAAGAACACCCCCTCAGCATCTTCCGCCTTAAAACTTATCACTGGCATGCGGGCCGTAATCCCCACCTCCTATCTCTTCCTCTTCATCGCTCGAGCGTGCTCCTTCCTGGCCTTATTCGAGTCACCATCGATTGGACCACCAGAGATCATGTAAATAGTTCCTCTTTTCATCGGGGCCTCTCCTCCATGTCCTCCCTTTTCGCCATCTCTCCTTGGCTTCTTTCCTCGACCGCCTCGACCATCTCCCTCCTCATCTCTATCGCTCCTTTCCTCCGAGTCTTCCCTACATCTTCTCCTTCCTTTTCCCTTCACCCTATCATGATACACAAATTCCTTCAAGTAACCTGCTGGAATCAGCCTCTCGATCTCATCTTTCAGATGTCTGCAATTCTCCGTGGTGTGGCCATAATCTTTGTGAAAGCGGCAGTAAATATCCGACCTAGGTCGAATGGGGCCTGTAAACTGCATTCTTGGCCAAGTCACATCCTCACTCGGCATCTTCTACTCCATGGCTTCGAGGACCTCCGTCATATCTTTCCTCAAGGGCGTGAAAGTTTGGTATCTCTGTCTCTCAAACAACATCGGCCTCCTCTACCACTCGTCCCTCTTCTCCCGTTTCGAATCTCGACTCTCCCTTCGAGGCGATGCCCTTTTTTGTCCACCCCGCTTGGGCGAATCCCTCCTCGGTGATCTCCCCCTCTGCGGACTCTTCTCCTTCTTTGGCTCTGGTCGATCCATTCCCTCCAACTTGGCGAACTCCATCTCAATTTCCTCCAAGTTGATATACTTCTTGCACCGCTTCAGCACATCCTCATACGATCGAGCAGGGGTTTTCGCTAAGAAAGTTCGACAAGGCCCTGCTCGAAGACTCCTTATCAATCCACCCGCCTTCACCTCATCCGAAGCCGAGTGCACCTCTAAACATGTTTGGTTATATCGAGCAACATACTTCCTCAACGATTCTTTCTCCCCCTGCCTCATCGCCATCAAAGTTAAATATGTTTTCTCCTGCACCACCGCGCTCGAATATTGATTGACAAGCTTGCCAGTAAAATCCTCAAATCTCGGGATCGACCCAGGTGGAAGTTGGTGAAACCAATCGAGTGCTCCTCCACGCAAGGTTGATAGAAATGCCCTGCAACAAACAGAATCAGAGTACCCATGTAGCACATCCATATTTTCAAAGGTCCTCACATGCCTCGATGGGTCAGATGACCCGTCATACACCAAGTTGGTCATCTTAAAATTGTTTGGCAACGGAGCAGTGAGAATTTCCCTTGAAAAGGGGTGTCCTCGAGCTCTCCTCTCTGGCCTCCCCTCCACCTTATCTTGTAGTTGGCGCAACTGCTCCGCCATCCTCTTCATCGCACGATCCCTTCCAGCTCCTCCTTCTCCATAGCTAGACACATCATCCTCTTGGCTTCCGGCCACCGTGGTCGGCGTAGCGGTGGCATGAGAAGTGTGACTTGCAACTTGCTGCACCGTTTGCGCCGCCGCGGCCGCCGCTATCCTTTGCATCTCCTCCCGGGTCATTGCCACCATTTGCTGGCCGGGGACTTGTACAGCTGCCTGTGGTAGCGCTCCTCCTTGTGTCAGCCCTCCTCCTTGGCGCTGTATCGGATCTGGTGGTGGTGGTGGCGGCATCGCCGTTGTCGCTGCTACCCGAGCCTCCTGGGCCTGACTGGAGCTGGCGCCTCCTGCGAGAATCCCTGCCGTCACTCCTACACCTTGGAAGTTAGGTGCGGGAGTGATCGGAGTCTGGGATGGGCCAGAAAAGCCCAGAGGTGGGTCATGACCCAGCGGCCTGGTCGTCGTCCAAGCTTCATCGAACGTCGACTGTAAGTTTTTAGGAATTCCGTCCGCCATAGCTGATCTTCAAACACAACTTTTTTGAACAGTAATCCCCACAGACGGCGCCAATAATGAAAGTGTAAACGTCCGGGTCCGGTTTGGAGTAGATCGGTTCTTGTCCTCGCCGGTAGAACGCCAGAAACCTGTAAATAACTCTCACACCGGGGGTTGGATCCGGTGAAGAGCCTCCGATGCTTAAGTCAGTATGTGTATGAGTATACTGGAATTAAGAGAATGAATAGAATGTGTTAAGGGATAAAGGCTCGCTCCCTTTATATAGGGACGAGATACCTGCCCTAATAGCTGCCCGGATAAGGTGAGTTGGCTGCCCAAGCTGCCCGTCCGTACTCTGACACGCCGCGCACATGTCAGAGGTGGCGCAGGGCGTTGGGGGTTTTCAGAGGTGGTTTCCACCATCATCCAGTACGCTATAGACACGTGTTGTCCCAGCACATGGGCTGAATATTCTCTGAAGATTTCGGTTAGAGGCTCTTACGCGCGCTTTCGGTACACGCGCTACCAACTAGGTCGATCACGGGTTCCTCGATGCGATCGACCTGCTAAGGTCGAGTGGCTTGCTCGATCATGTGTTTGGTCGATGCCTCTGGTCGATTATCCGAATATTTGGCCTTCCTGCCCCCTTACGGTTTGTTTCTCTTCTGTTCAGTTTCCCCGACCGGCCAAGTAGGCCGGTTTATCCTTGAGTATATAATATCCCATATCAACTATAAAATTGTTTTTTTTTTGTGTATATGTAAATATATGCTAATCCAAATCAATGATTCTAATAACTCTGTTAAAAATAAAAAAGAATCCTTGATAAATAAGAGTTCCAAAATCGGCTACTTATAATTATTTACATAATATTTGCCTACAAAACCAAACTCAACGTAATTAAAGAAAACCAAAAATTTACTAAAACAAACACAAACCAAAAATCGAGTTATATGAAAATTATGCAATTAATGATTTATTTTTATTTAGATCATATTAATGCAAGTGTAAGCGTCCGGGT